TCTTTGTAAATGTAGTGTATGTTCAATAAAATCCAATATTTTCCTTATAAAATGAATTTGTAACGGCCCGTCTCTGGTATGTATCTTTTATAGTATTTATTTTAGAAGTTTGTAGAGGGACTCGACAAGTCTATGTACCGACTCGTCGAGTAGGGTCGTGATCTTGATCAGCTAATAGATCGGCGACTCAGCGAGTCCATATTCGGGACTCGGCGAGTCAACCTGCCAAGTAAAAACCCTAAATCCCCGGGTTTGCACCCTATTTAAACCATCTTATGAGCCCCAAACTCGTCTCCTTCACCCTCAAAGCACCATTTAGCAAACCCTAATCATTCCATTGAGTATTTGAGCATTCTTTGTGTAATCTTGAAGTTTTGAAGAGAAGGAGAAGGCTAGATTCAAAGAAGAAGAAGAATATCCAAGTCTTTACACCCATTTCAGAGTATTTTGAGGTAATAATCGGTTTCTTCCTGTTTTGATGATTGATTCTCCTTTATAAGCATATTTAGCCCATTCTTTAGCTTGTTCATAGTAGAGAAACCATGTTGGATGGGTTAGCTTCCGAATCTAGCCATGTTTTAGTTCCAAAAACGTAGATCTATTAACTTTATGGAGCCATTTTGCATGTTAGCCCTAGATCTACTCTTCCAAGTGCCTTTTTAGCCTTTATATCCTTCTGTATGAATTTGTACACGTAAAGTTGGGAACTTTACGTGGTAAACCAGCCTTAGGAACTCAGATCTATGTATTGTATGCAGTGGTTTTGAGCAGAATCGAGTTTTTAGTGATTGCATGCATGGGACTCGGCGAGTCGTTCTTCGGACTCGGCGAGTCGAGTCACGAGTCCCCGATTCTTCCCCTTTAAGTGATTCCGAGTGGGAACCAGTGAATAGTGGAATGGACTCAGTGAGTTAGAGGTTAGACTCAGTAATGGAAGGACTCGACGAGTTGTTCATACAACTCGGCGAGTCCAAGGCAATCTTCTTAAGATTCAAGAACAACTCGTCGGGTTGTTCATACAACGCGGTGAGTTGGATGCAGATGACCTGAGTGTTGGAATAGAATGGGAACTCGTCGAGTATATGCCATACTCGACGAGTAGCAGCGAGCGGGGTTGATAAATGAGAGTAGAGACTCGGCGAGTTGGCGGCCTAACTCGGCGAGTCAGGTCAACTGAAAGTTGACTTTGACCAGGAGAGTTGACTTTAGCCAGGGGTAAAAGAGTCATTTTACCCCAATGCAGTTATTAGTATTTGATTGAATATATTTGTGGAATTGTAGCCGGGGAGATACCGAAGCAACAACAGATAGTTTCTAGAGCCACACACTCAGCAGCCAGATCACGAGGTGAGTTTCCTTTCAGTAGGATCGGGTCTAAGGCCACAATGTCGGCCCATTTATCTAGAAGTAGTTTCCGGACTTCGGTCCGATGCAGATTTTAATATGTTTGATGCCTTCGTGGTTCAGACAGGATTTCTGTGTTATGTGTTACGGGTTACAGCCCGATGTAGTATGCCATTTATGTGCTCATGTTAGTTGTTATGCTTATGTTACGCTATGTTCAGTAGTTCCGGACTTCTGTCCGATGCAGTTAGTTCCGGAATCCGGTCCGATGCAGTTAGTTCCAGACTTTGGTCCGATGCAGGAGGCAAGGCCTCAGTAGTTCTGGATTTCGATCCGATGCAGAGGGCAAGGCCCTGGTTAGTTCCGGACTTTGGTTCGATGCAGTTTCCGGACTTCGGTCCGATGCAGTGGGCAAGGCCCAGTATGAGTTTATATGTATTGTATGGTATGTGGTAGTTTGGGGGAGCTCACTAAGCTTCGTGCTTACAGTTTCAGTTTTGGTTTCAGGTACTTCCGCAAGCAAATGGAAGAGCTCAGGTTGATGGCATCGCACACACCACAACTTCAGTTGTCCTGGGAGTTGTTTTTAGTTTTTCATAGATGGGATTTGACACAGTATTGATACAGTTTACTCATAACACTTTGCTATTGTTTTTTAAATATTGACGTATGAGTTTTACCTTATGATATTATCATGGTGTTTTTAGTAATTATTAAACAAAAATTTTTGGGTCGTATTTTGGGATGTTTCAGAATTGTAGTCTTAAAACCCAAAGACCAAAATATACAAGTATTTTTCCATACTCATGATAGTGTAGGCAACTTTAAATAATTAAAACCCTTGTAAATGTAAGAATTCCCGTAAACTATATGTGTCATTGTTTCCCTATGCGAGTTATTATAATCATGCAATTGACATAGTAAGCCTGTTACGACGTACTTCGGGCGTCGGAATATTTTGACATTTGTCACCCCAGACCTGTCGGTCTAGCTGTTGCATGCAGCTTAAGTGCGGGATTGTCAATCCCAATATAGATCTATATACAAGTATCACGCTCTCCTTACAGGAGACTATGGTTATAATACAAGACTTTAACCAGTACCCTAAGGAGTACAATGAAGTAACATCTCACAAATTTGATTCAACGAGTTTATATGTAGTGTAGATGAAAATCCTTGTTGTAGTGCAAATGGAACCTTCCTTAGTATGTTCGTTGTGCTAATGCACCATAAACTATACCTATTATAGTTTATCCTAAATGTTTGTAGTGAATGAAAAATCCTTATGATGAATGACTAATTTTGTTTCGTGAAGGTAAACTAACATGAAGTAAAATCAAGATGTAGCTAAACATTGTTATACACTTTGCTCAACATGTTACAAAGTGTTAATAAACTTGTATATTGTTTTTATTAGTTTTAACAATTATGTTACTGTTTTTAGAAAAATCATATAAAAATCATTGTAAGTCGAAAACTAGATCCGTAAACTCTGAGAGTTTATAAAATGTGTCTAGTTTGTTCATAATTTTTATTATGATTTTTATAGGTCTCTAAACAGCGTGAAAATGTCCATATTCACAGACTGGTCTGAAATCGTTGCTGAAATGATAGACAATTTTGTAAAAATCACCATAAATTGTAGAAAGATCGTATGAACGTGTGCAAGTAGTCATTAGAAAGGTATAAACCTGAGCTATTTGCATATTGAACAGTTTTGAAAAATATTAAGTTTAAGATGGTCAAAACAGTTCGTGAATGGACCATAACTTTTCTGACAAAGGTTGTTGTTTGAGTTAAAAGATGTGTTGGTGTTGCAACTTGTATCCCCCCTCTCAAAACTTGAATAAAACATGAAAATGTAAAGGTATGAACTCACCTTCTATGATTTTTTGAAGAAGAGAAGGTTGAAGATGAAAAGTTTCAAGCAAAAAACACTTGAAGGATGCTTGAAGATTTAAAGATCATAAGAACAAATATGTGAAAATTTGTGTAAATGATAATATATATATATATATATATATATATATATATATATATATATATATATATACACACTATAAATTATATATTATAAATATAAATAAAAAACAGATAATAAATATATTTTTAATTATAAAGTAAAAATTAGGGAAATCTCCAGAAAAGTCCTAAAATTTTAGTCCAATTTATGAAAAAGTCCCAAACTAATTTTTGTTTACAGAAAAGCACAGAATACCGGCTAAAACTTCGAAAAAACCCTTTTTGGCCGGTTTCGTAGATTTAGCCGGTATTCTGTCATTTTTCGTTAGTTTGCTCAAAATATTAGGACTTTTCTGAAAATTACCCGATAACCAAAATATTGAGACTTTTTTGAAAATTACTATGGAATTAATGGATATTATTATTAACAAATCATTTATAAACATAAAAAATATTTTTTTATTATAAACAAAGGAAATACATTTGTTGTTAATTTCTAGAAATAGAATGGTCGACTATGTACTTCTCAATTGTTTGTTGAGCACTTCAAAGTCTTTATGTTCTTCATATGTATCGTTGTGGGTGTCATAGTGAGAAGTAATCTATTAGGCGTGACCAATACAAGAGTTGATAATATTTATTAATACACAATCAATAAGTTTCTACTTGCTATTAAGCATGATGCTATATGATCATGTGTTATTAGAAGATATCATTACAGGAACATATAGATCTTTCATTATGTTCTTTAACCTAACTACCACCTAACCTCCAAACATTACCCGGTAACAACCATAAAATTACACATATCTATCGAGAGTGAAAAGTAAACTTTGAATGACAATTTAAATAGATAATCACTATTCACTTGTTTCCATATAAATTATCATTCAGGGTTCACTTTTCACATTTTATAGATGTGTGTTAGCCGATGATTGTTAACATGTAAGGTATGAATGTTGGTTGGTAGTTAGGTTAAACAACATACGAAGAACACCAACATTAGAGGAATGCTAACTAACTTCATCTCACCATCATACGCACAACAATGCATAGGAAGAACATAGAGAGTTTGAGTGGTCAGGAAACAATAGAGGAGTACTTAGGCCACCAATATTTTAGTTATTATGTAATTTATAAAAGATTTGTTAATAATAATATCCATTAATTTCATGGTAATTTTCAAAAAAGTCCCAATATTTTGGTTATTATGTAATTTTTGGAAAAGTCCCAAAATTTTGAGCAAACTAACGAAAAAGGACAAAATACCGGCAAAATCTGCGAAACCGGCCGAAAAGGGTTTTTTCGAAGTTTTAACTGGTATTTTGTACTTTTCTATAAATAAAATTTATTTTGGAACTTTTTCATAAATTGAACTAAAATTTTGGGATTTTTCTGGAGATTTCCCTAAAAATTAAGGGTACCTTATATATTTCACTTTTACATTTTACTTCATTTTTGTAAAATTTCCACCGCCCTCCTATTTGTAAATTCCATTTCCTGTTTGTATTCAGTTATTAACCCCCATCACGACCAAACCCTAGATACTTTCCTTGAGAGGTAAAATCTTCTATATACCTTTACCCTCATTCCTGTTCATATATATTATGAACACGATGTGTAATTTGTCTATATTTATATCTCTTGCAGTTTAATATACAAAGAAACGAGGAACTAGTTGTTTGCGGAGGGAGATGAGTGGCAGCAAGTCAGTGGCGATAAGTGGTGGTGGCGGAGACTGGTACAGGGCGCCATTCACGGCGGTTCAGTGGCAGGAGCTGGAGCATCAAGCTTTAATATATAAGTACTTGGTGGCGGGGGTGCCTGTCCCTTCTGACCTTGTTTTGCCGATTAGACGGAGCTTGGAGGCTCTATCTGCTAAGTTGCTCCATCATCCTGCCTGTAAGTTTGAATAACGTTTTCTGGAATGTATTGTTGATGCACAGATACAGAGATATGTTTCTGAGTTGATTCAAATACTTGCAGTGGGATATACGAATTTAAGTTTGTACTACGGGAAAAAGTTTGATCCTGAACCAGGGAGGTGCCGGAGGACAGATGGTAAAAAGTGGAGGTGCTCGAAAGAAGCTTTTCACGAATCAAAATACTGTGAGCGCCACATGAACCGTGGTCGTAATCGTTCAAGAAAGCCTGTGGAATCTCAATCAACTGCCAAAGGGGGGAGCTACCAGAATGTTATTAGCACTGCAACTGTATCTGCAACTGCAAAATCGTTGTATCCCATCACCACTAATTCGGGGACAGGTAGTTATAATTTTGGAATCAATGGATCAAAGTTGCAGCTGGATACTATTCCGTATGGGATCAACACCAAAGATGTTAGGTACTTAATTTCTTTTCATTTTGGGTCCATTTCTGTTAATGCATTTATCATTAAGAAAAACTGTTTATGAACATACTTGTATATGGTTAGGTCAAGTGGTCAACCATGTCAGAACCACCATAACTATATTGACCTGTGTAGTGTACTATTAATATTATAACCCAAAAAAAAAAAAAAAAAAATTCTCCCACTGAGGTTAGTTATTATTTATATTTTTATATGTAGTCTCAAACATGAACCATTTGTGCTTAGGAATGGAATGAATGTGATTCCTTCTCCTAGGCTGTGTTTGGTATGGAGAGATCAGAACCGGAATGGAATTAGGAATGGAATGAATGTGATTCCTTCTCCTAGGCTGATTTTCATTCCATGAGGAATGAGTGTTTCTTCTCATGCCTATAAATTTTGTTTTATTTATATAAATCTTTAATATAAATAAAGTTTTTTATATTTCAGTAAACGAAGTTTTAAAAGATGATGAATGAAAATCTCATAGATTATGTGTGAAAATATATACAAAATATATCTGAAACAAACATATAAATATATTTATATGTAACTTCTGTTAGCACAGACTGCAGAGACAGAGGTATATCTTAATTTGATTATATAAAACAGTAGTTTTGTATGTTTCTGTCAGTTTCTGTTAGATGTGTAGTAGTTATGCATAAGAAACAAAAAACAATATATAGTTGAATAATGAAATTTAAATTAATGACCCATTCAATTATTATGTTACTCCTTCCATAATACCAAATAAGAGAGCATTGGATTTCTAGACATTGATGGTTGTTGACGTATTGATTAAAATTAAATGAGAGAAATAATTCCTTTCCTATTTGTTTTGAAAATGGAACATGCAGGTATTCTCAAGAACAAACAGTAACAGTGAATGTTGATAATCAAAATTACACATCGAATTTGTGTGGTGATAGCGATGATTTAGACAATTCTTGGTCTTGCCAAGTTGTTACAAATTCTTCCTCCTTGTTGTCAGAGCCACAAAACGATTCATACTCCAATACTTTTGAGCCCATTCCCATGTCCATGATCGATGATGATGCTAATAATTCCATTTCCATGTCATCATCATCATCATCATCAAAACAACAAAGTCAACAACATTTTTGCTTTTTTGGTGGTGAAATTGACCAAGTAAACCATGATGAGCAAGATAATTCAATGCTTCCAATTCCATGGTCCAATCTCAATGCTTGATGCAACAAATGCTTCTCCTAATAACAGCGAACGTGCTTTCATACAGCTGTTTTTGATGGTGAGGACAAGGGCATTCACGTCTTTTCGACATTATTTCACATTTTTTTGGTTGGACAAAAATTTGCAATTTATGTATGTCCGGTTGACTTGATATTTTCCTAATCCCAATCTACTGCATGCCAAACACAGTACAAACCCGTGTAACAAATGGGAAGTTATGTTTGATTGATGGATTATCTTATTATATATTTATATTTATATTTATATGTGCAGATGCCAGCTGTGCAAGAGATGCTATGACTAGTGTTGTATAATCTACACATGTATCAGTTTCAGGTTCTCGCAAATTTATATGTATTACGAAATTCACAAGTATAATAAGATTTTGATTTACTTTATATCTACTCTACTCCTCTACTTTATTACAAAAGTAGAAACCAGTTTATAAAAAAGGGCGAGTAAAATTGAAGTCAGTTGCATTTGCATGGGGTGCTTGTGCTTAAGCTTAATTCATGGCCAAGCAATAAGCTTGTATTCTGTAACCTTCCTTAAATTGTTGAATACGCACTACAATACATTTAAATAAATTGAAAAGTATAAGGGTGAGACTTGTACAAGTCAAAAGTTTCTTCATGCTTACATAAATTAAAAGCCCCCAAAATCTGTGCCTAATTTCACTCCTACCACCTACACTACACATGCCCCATGGGTGGTCTCATTTCAGGCAAGCAACCACTCACAAGTCACAACTCACAATGTTAATGGTTGACCTTTTATTTTCTTTTTAAAAAATTTAATAAATATAAGTTTTACTTGAAAATGATTATAGGAGAGACATTGATAAATTTATATCGTCTGTTTATCAACGTTATATCGGTTTCCTTGTGAAAATTTGTTCCTAATGAGCGTATAATATTATATAATATAGAAAAAATGGTATAAAATTTACACATGATAATGAGTGAAAGAAGATTGTGTGAGTCACAAGAATTCACATTCAAATTCCCAAAAGAAACGTGAGAAAAGCACTTGGAAAAGCACAAAAAGCACTTGCTTAAGTGCGTGTATACCTTCCCACCCATCCCTATACTATCTATATTCCCACGCACACCATGTTCACAACTACAAAAACCAGACCAAACATCATCAAAAGAACAATACCTCCATCTCCATCACCACCACCGCAAACCACCACCATGGCCACCAAAACCAAGAAGCCTGTTTGCTCTATCCAATCCAGCCTAGCCACCACCCTTTTCTGTGTTCTCCTCTTCACAATCCCAGCCCTCCTCCTCCTCCACACCCCTCCCACCTCCATCTGCAACACCGCCTCCACCACCTCAACCTCTTTCTCCGGCGACCTCCGCTCAGCCGAATTCTCCTGGAACCACCTTAGTTTCTCCTCCCACATCCCTCCACCAGTCCCCCTCAAGATAGCCGTCTTCACCAGAAAATGGCCGGTCGGAACAACTCCGGGAGGAATGGAGCGACACGCGTTCACATTATACACAGCTTTAGCAACCCGCAACCATGAGATCCATATCTTCACTTCCCCACCAAATGAAGACGTTAGTTTAATCAACACCAAGAGAAAAGACGATAATGCCCTCATCGTCCATTTCCACGAGGGCAACGAGCCGGGACAATGGCGGTACAACAAGGCAATGGAACAGTACGAGGAGGAAAACAAGGTACGCCCGTTTGACGTGGTCCACACGGAAAGCGTCGCGTTACCTCATTACAAAGCTCGTGGTATCCCAAATCTTGCAGTGTCATGGCATGGGATCGCTTTAGAAAGTGTCTCATCAAGCATCTACCAAGATCTTATACGAAATCCCAAAGAGCCTATGTCCCCTTCTTTTAACGAAAGCTTACAAGTCATGATCCCAAAAGTCCTCAATGAAATCCGATTCTTTAGAAATTACCGACACCACATCGCTATTAGCGACAGTTGTGGCGAAATGTTGCGAGATGTATACCAAATCCCGAGCAAACGAGTACATGTGATTGTGAATGGTGTTAACGAGGACGATTTCCGGGAAGATTCAGAATTGGGGAAGAAATTTAGATCCAAAATTGGGGTACCAAAGAATGCTAGTTTGCTCCTTGGGGTAGCCGGGAGACTAGTGAAAGACAAAGGGCACCCTTTGTTGTACGCAGCCTTTGCGAAACTGATGAAAAAGTACACAAATGTGTACTTGGTTGTTGCTGGGGCTGGACCCTGGCAACAAAGGTATATGGAGCTAGGACCACAGGTCAAAGTGTTGGGCTCAATGAGCCCAACCGAGCTTCGAGGCTTCTATAATGGAATTGATATCTTTGTGAACCCGACACTTAGGCCACAAGGGCTTGATCTAACACTTATGGAAGCTATGATGGCTGGGAAACCTGTGATGGCATCACGGTTTCCGAGCATCAAAGGGACGATTCTTGTTGATGATGAATTTGGTTTTATGTTTTCACCGAATGTGGAGTCGTTGGTGGAGGCGTTGGAGGTGGTGGTGGCAGAAGGTCCGGGGAGGCTTGCTCAGAGAGGGAAGGCTTGCCAGAGATATGCAACCTCCATGTTTACAGCTAGAAAAATGGCGTTAGCGTATGAGAGGTTATTTCTTTGTATAAAGAATGAAACTTTTTGTATTTACCCTTAGGTTATACTCCATCTCCATTTCGGTTCTTGATGATTACGTAGGTGGTTATATTGAAACGGGGAACATACTCTGATACTCATACACTAGTGTTTCTACAGAGAGTTGGACTTACAGCTTCAGGGATATATAGATTTGTTATCATCAATTGATTTTTTTTTAACTCCCCATATTTTTCGAGTGATTGTATAAATAATTGCATAAGTAAAAAGATGTTTAGTTAATAGAATGCAATATGTCAAGTAAAGTATCTGAATACAGTTAATGCAATGTGTAATCTGAATCCAATCAGGTGTGTCGCTGACATTTGAAATTTCTTAAAAGATTTGTAATTGGATTCTGTTTTAGTTAGTAAGATTATAAATGAAAATGAAATCAATTTTCTTTTGTTGGATAATGTTTTGTTCGTAAAATTGACAAACAATTAGGAATATATATTAGCAAAAAATTGTAGTTTGATTTTTTTTTGGTTAACAATCAGATTTATCATTAAGATTTTGATATATAAATGTTGAATTCTATAAAGTCGCTATGTATAGAATGTTTTCGATTCAACTAACCAAAATCTTTTATAGTTTGAAATTAAATAATAATAAAAAAAACCTTTAACCAAAAAAGTATTATTCGGATGATTTTTTGCAATTTTGACAAACGCTTACAACAGAAATATATATATATATATATATATATATATATATATATATATATATATATATATATATATATATATATATATATATATATATAATAAAAAAAACTTTAACCAAAAAAGTATTATTCGGATGATTTTTTGCAATTTTGACAAACGCTTACAACAGAAATATATCTATATATATATATATATATATATAATATATATATATATATATATATATATATATATATATATATATATATTATATATTAGTTAAACAAAAAAAAGTGTTTTATGAATTTTAATTTACTATGATAAAATTGACATTTACATATCATATTTTTTGTTATTATTTTTAATTTTTTTTTTTTTTTTTTTTTTTTTTTTTTTTTTTATGATTAGGGGTTATTTGATATACATTTTATTGGGTCTTAGATGTTGAGTTGACTAAATCAAATTAGAACTTAGACGTTTCTAATTTGGTTCTTGGTTCTCCCTCTTTTAAAATGTTTTTTACTCGATCATATTCCAGACTAATTCAATTAACAACTATCCAATCAACTCTTGATCATTATAGTTTGGACCTGAAAAGTAAAAACTTTACCAAGAAGAATATTTTACTCCCTCTCCATTCGGTTCTTGTTGATTGCTACATTTGTTATCACCGATTGATTTTTTTAACTCCCCATATTCTTTGAGTGATTGTATAGATAATTGTGCAAGTAAATGGTTGTTTGGTTCATAGAATGCAATATGTCAAAGGAATTACATCAAATCAACAATCATCAAGTATCTGAATCCAATTAGAATGCAATTTGTAATCTGAATCCAATCAACTTTAACACTTTAACTAGAATGCAATTTGTAATTTGAAACTGAACAAAAAAAACAACTTTAACAGAAAAATACTCTTCAGATTGTCTCTCACAATTCTTTCCTGAAAAAAACTTCAACTAACCAGTTGAGGGGCACCTTAACAACAACTCATCATGTACCTTTTGCTACGTGATTGGAATGGAATTCAATTTCAAATCCCTTGGACAAAACACCCTGTTTGTTTAGATGATTTGAAGAAAGCTTGAACCACATACATGAACAAACAGTGAAACAAGTATATACTACAAACACAAAATTTATACAACATGATATGAACATTCTTCGTTTATGAACCTAAGGGGAATGCAACCATTGTAGCACCTTCCCTTGAAAGTTCACCAGGGGGTGAGCAAAATATCGGGTTCTCTTTGTATCAGTGATACAAAAAGAAAGTAAAAACTGAACAAATGTAAGCGGATCATGATACTAGAGAAATCCGGTTACGTTCAAGTCCAGCATAAGCATGTCGAGTTCTTAGAAACAACAACACACTTAAAACCAAACCCAAAACCGAAACACAACCCCACAAAACAAACGTACCAAAATAGCAGTCTCTTCCCATACAAACGGATGCTGTTGTAAGAAGAACATTTCCATCATAAACAAAGGCGGAAACAAGACCATAAAAGAGTGAACCAATTGGGATGTTTGTGATGAGAATGTTGTGGTTAACACCAACACTTTTAGGTCCAAAAAGCTCTGATGTAATCGACACGGCTGATGAGAAAATGAAACCCGAACTTAAACCAATGAGACAAGTTCCAATTTGAAGCGCTATCTTGGCATCTGTCAACGACAGCATGAGAAATGCCAATGGTGTTGGCACCAGTGCTATGGCTAGCCATCCGGTCCTTGCCACATACAACTTCCTATATACACATGTATATATATTTTTTCAATGATCAAAGAGGGCATTTATGTCTTTTACACAAATGAGAGACCGAGAGCAAGTATATATTCGGCTCCACCTTTTTGTCCAGGATAAAAAATTGCAATTTTTGTCCCGGTGCCAGTGGCAGTCTTAGGATCTATTTGGCACGCCATAACTAGCTGATAAACTAGCTTATTTTTCGAGGTTTTTTAAATTGTCATGTTTGTCAACCAAAAAAATAGATTAAAAGCTATAGCTTTTTGAAAAGCTAGTTTTTTTTAGGAGTTTTTAAAATTTTTTCCAAATATACATTTAATTAATTATAAAATCGCATTTTTCTAAATTTACTGTTATGTCATTTTATATATCTTCTAGATAGTTAATCAACTAGATTTTACCAAAACCTTTTTTTTTTTTTATTTTTTATTTTTTTTATATCATGCCAAACATCTTGAAAAGATGCCAGATTTATCTACTTACGCTTTCAAGAAATCTGGAAGTGCTGAAAGTAAGCGCCCAAAGAAAGAGAAAGAGGAATAGAGTGTGATGAGTGTGGAAGTAGTCGAAGCTAAACCAAGAGATTGAGCTATCTGGCCTAGATTGTTACTGTACACTAGCCCGATTGTTCCACCACAAAAGTATGCAAAGTAATACAACCAAAAATCAATCCTAAATAGGAGCCTCTTCGCATCATGCTCTTCCTCAAGAAACACCAATCTGTCACTCATTATTACTATCTCCCAACACCCATTACCATCTCTATCATCATCATCATCATCATCATGGCCACCATTGATGAGCTTTTTACGGAGCCCGAGATCATCATCATCATCATCATCAAGCATGAAGCTTGTTCGTTTGATAACTCTCGGGGTTACATTTTGTGTAAACCAACTTCGAGCATAAACCATTCCCGGGACTCCTAAGGGGAGGACAAGGAGGCAGATGGCACCAGCAAAGAAGAGTTTTGCAGGATTTGGAGGGATGGCAACGAGATAGATACCTGTGATGACAGCAAAGATGAATAAGATGATGAATATAATTCGATCATGGCGTAGTGTTTCGGTTGAAATTGGGTTTGAATTTGGTGGTGGTTGCCTGAGAATTGGGATGAGGGCAGCAAAAGAGGTGAAGAGGGGAATGAAGGCGTTGAGAAGAAGGTAGAGGGAGTAGGAGGTTGGGTCTATGGCTTTGGCTGCGAGGTTGTATAAAGCTGCACTTACGCCATTGAAGCTTACAGTGAGAGAGATGGCTAGAGGTCGATTTGTGGGGAAGTTTTGGGTGCATAGGACAAAGCAAAATGTATTGAACCAGGTGATGCTACATCCTGCCAATAAGCACAGTAGAAATACCTGCAATCGATGGTAAATGAAGTCCCTTAGAACTGAATTTACCAAGGCGATATTCAACATTGTGATCAGCCGATGAGAAAAAAAAAAGATCGTAAGAAATTGATTGAGCATCATTTCTCATGGTCGAGTTAAACTTATAAGCTGTAGGTTATATATGATCAATAAGTTTCAATTTAATTTTTTGAAAAACAATGACAACTGTTAAATTTCAGGCATTAATTAGGGTCAATGGCATGAACCTAGAACGACTTGATAGCACCTGACGTCGCTTTCATGACGAGACTCCATGCAATTGACCATTAGGGTTAAGTTGTAAAATTATAAAATATTGGGGAAGAATTAGGATTGTAGGTTTAATTGACATGGATTCGTGCATGGATGCATGATGATGAATTAATTGGGGGAATTGTAACTCACCGGAAAATAAGGGAGAGTAATTATACGACGAATGAGGAGCCACTGAACCCCGTAACCGAATAACCCCATGAAAGCCGCGATGAACATCACCATCCATATCGGCAAATAAATGAGCGCCAGTCCCGACGACCACCCAAACGCTTTCCCTAAGTCGGAGGCGGTGGCCAGGTAGTTCAATTCCATCTGAGAAATATCCAGAACCTTCTTAAGCTCCGACGAGTAAGCCGAGAAGTCGAAATTGGTACCGGTGAAGGCCTGGATCCATATGGTCGCCATCAGAATCATCCATTTACGGGATTGCCCCGCCATCACGATTCACGCCGCCGATAACAAAACTCCGATTGAAAGAAACGTCGGAGAATGAGAGTGATAGGGGCAAGGGTAACCACCCTCGTGTCGTGGAAATGAATTCTGGGAATGTTGGTTGATTTGAAGAATTTGCGTTGCTCCGAATCTCTACGTGGCCTCGTTTATAGACGATAATATACACTTTTCATTCTCTTCATACCGAAAACGACATGAATAGACTACAGATTAAAAAAAGGCTAATCTTCATAATAAAGTAATGATAAAATATTTTTAAAATATTATTAAATTAAAAAAACGATTATTGTTTTTAGAATATTTTGCGCACTATTCTTTTAATTTCTAACTGTTTATTTTCTAAAAATACATAAAATTTATTAATTTTGAAATCTTAGTAGTTACATATCAATATCATCCTATTCTTGCAAGTTACAATGATATCTATTTGGGTTGATGCATTATGTTTTATATACATGTGAGATTTGTAGTGTTGATGCGTTGTGTTTTATATCCATGTGGGATTTGTGGTTGGAAATTCGATTCCCGTAAAAACTAAACATTTTGAAGTGGATGTTAATTTTGTTTGTGATAAAGTGTCAAAGAGAATGTTAAAAATTGTCAAGATAGTTTCTGAAAATCAAAGAGCTCATATTTTTACTAAATTTATGACTTCGAGTGAACATAACTTTTTGTGTGAGTTAGATTTATTTGATCTTTTTCAAGTATAAAAAAATTTAAAATTCTTTTATGATCATCTTGAGAGGGGGGGGGGGGGGGTGTTGAAAGTATTAAAGTTGGTTGCTATTGCTGCAAGATTATCATAAAAGAATGTTGTATTTTTGTAGTGTTTTTGTGGTTTGTATTTATTTGTGTGCATGTAATTATTTATGGAGGACTGAATGTGTTTAAGTTAGAACTTAAAGGACTGCGACTTGTTTCCTTGATTCTACAATTGACACGTAGATCTTAGGTGGGTTGGGTACAAGGTTTGGTATGGGTAAAACCTATGTTTAACCCAAGTTCATCACCCGTTGTATTTAATGTTGGTTGCAAGTTCATTTGTGATTATTCAGTCATTTTTTGTGAGTCTAGCTTTCTTGCTATAACACCCAATTTCAGTTAAGCATTCATGCTGAGTTATCAGTTAACTTTTAAGGATTTAGCCTTGGTCACGACTCACGACGTGACCGTGCTCGAGGAACGCGCATCCCATTTAGGTCATCACGATGTAATAGCCTTGCTATCCAAAACCCTAATTTCGGGGGTTGACCCCCTATTTAAGGGAAGTGAGGCTAGGTTTTGCTCACCCTCAGTCTCCATCACCTTCCAAGAACCCTAATCTCCATTTTACTTATCCTTGAGCTCCATTTTTTGGTGATTTCTAGCCAATAAGAATAAGAGGTAGAGTTTTGGTGCATCATCCTAGCTTGTAAGTCTCACTATCATCTTCTCTAACACACTCTGGACCTTTGTGAATATTCAAGCTCCATGCTTTATGATCCAATATGCATAGATCTAAGTTTTTATGTGCTTTTCTTCATGTTTAGGCTAGATGGAGTGTTGGGTTCCATAAAGTTGCCTACTTTATGGATCACCAGAGTCCCTTTGTAGATAGAAGTGTTAGACATGAAGTTTGATAGAGTTTTGAACTCTTGTATGAGATTTTGACCCCATTTTATTACATCATTTTGTCCTAAATTGTGTTTAGGACATGCATGTCCAAAAAGCTACGATTTTTATGGTATTTTGTGATAGAGAATCCCTTTTGGAAGGTTTGGTTGCATAACTTAAAGGATTAAGAGCTTAAAGCTTTAGTCTATCTAGAGCGTTTGTCACGACGTGACACTGTGGGTCGTCACGACGTGACGAGGGACTGATCCACAATTATGAATTTTTGAGTGTTGACTTTGACTGGATTGTTGACTTTTTGACCAAGTTTGACTTTAGGTCAAACTTAGGGTTTTGTGTTGTAGTTTGAGGCTTGGTCCTTGTTTTATGTATAGGTGACTTGTAGAGTTGTTTATCGGATCGATGATCATTACTGTTATCTTTTGGACTACGTGGTGAGTTTTATCACCATACTTTGTACTGTAGTATGTATCCTTGTGTGTAGGATGTTGGTATACTGTAGTGAACTGTTAGATTGGTAGTGTAACATCCATAAAATTCAGACAAATTTAAAACTTTTTAAATCATTCAAAAAAACGATAATTATTACAAACATATTTTCAAAATGGTTTAATATCAAAGTATCCCAGAATCAAATCATAAAACATAAGGAGGTGCACGATCACGCCTTTGCCTTCCCGCGATCATCAGAAGTACTTGAAACAAAATCAAAAACTGTAAACCCGTATCTTAGCGAGTTTCTCCAAAATACCAACGCCATACAATCATAATCATATCATATAAATAAACAGCATGCATAATGAGCCATCACCCTGACTGGACCGCCTCGCAGGCCTTCAGTCTATCTGGACCGCTCTCCGAGCCTTCGGCATGTCTGGATTGCCTCTTAGGGCCTTCAGCCTATCTGGACCACTCGTCAGGCCTTCCTCCTGACTAATATGCCCTCCCGGGTTTGTAGTCTATCTGGTCCGCCCAGGGTATGTTGGCTTTCAACACAAAGCAGGTCCGCCTCAACCCAACCCCAATCAAACAATCATGTGCACATAAATATCATACGTTAGCATGTATATAATAGTCAAACCGATCTAACAGATCACTAATCATAGCAACATCCTATAACCAGGATACCGAGCTAACCGATCACTAACATAGCATTATCCTATATACCAGGATACCGACCTAACCGGTCACTTGTTGGATTAATGTCTAAGTCCATAACTATAACTGGTAAAGACTTGACCTGGCCCGGCATGGTCCATATGGGTTGCATGGTATCGGAACACTTGAATAAACCTTTTATGAGAAGAAGATATTTGTGACATATTAATATATTATAAGTTCTAATATATTAATATGAGATCATGTTATTTAATTAGTATTGATCAAGAATTAATTTGGACTTAATTTAGTGATCAAAAGAGACTAATTAAATATATGGGGATTGATTGTGTGAATCATTCATTCTTATATAAGTGGGATTATGATCCATGATTCCTTATGTTGGGTTTAACCCATGTGGTGACCCATGGATACTCCATGGAGGTTAAAACCCATGGAGCATAAGGAATGGGTAAGGTCATGGGTTACATGGTGTAACCCTAATGTGCACACTATATAAAGACCCCATTGGTTGGAGAAATTAGCACTAGTGCATAATATGGAGAGCAAGCCGATTTCCAGGTCTCATATCTTCTTCTCATGGTTATTCCATGTGTTGGTGATGTTGTGTGAACCATTTGAGGTGTCACACTTAGGGCACTAGTATCTCGAGCTTCATGGAGTCAAGCTACATCAACAAGGTATGTATTCTATCTATTTTATTACCCAAGTATCAAAATTTGTATGCTAGTTAGGGTAACACCTTGGAATATTCATATTGCATGTATAATAGAGAAAACATAGATCCAAGGTGTTTAGGGTTGCATGTACACCATAAGAGTGTTAGAATGCTCAAAACTCAACATCACTAACATAACATTATCTTATAAACCAGAATACCGACCTAACCAGGTCACTAAGCTGTTGGATTTTGAGTATTCTAACACTCCTAAGGTGTACATGCAACCACAGAAGCCTTGGATCTATGTTTTACTATGATACATGCAAATTTGACTTTTCAAGGTTCTTAACCTATCTAGCATACATGGGGAACTTTTAAACATAAATGATAGTAAGAAATACATACCTTTAGTTGCTTGGATTCCTCGAGAACCTTATGAGCCTAGCACCTCAAGTATGATGCCTCAAATGTCTCACACAACACCAAATACACTTGGAGTAACCTCAAGAGAAATAGAACACTTCTAAATTGGCTATGCCCTCTTGTTCTCACACTAGTGCTGATTTTGGTCTACAACATATTCCTTTTATAGTGTGTCATAAGTAGGGTTAAACCATGGGTTCAAAGACACCATGGAGCATCCTATGGGTTTTAGCCCAACTTGATAATCCATGGAGCATTAGCCCACTATACAAGTAATGAGTGATTTACACAATCAACCCATATATTTAATTAGTCTTCTTTTGATCACTTAATTAATTCCAAATTAATTCTTGATCAATACTAATGAAATAACATAATTAATATATTAAAACTTATAATATATTAATAAATCTTAAGTGTTATTTCTCTCATTTTGGTTTATCCAAATGCATGATACCATGCAACCCAAATGGACAATGCTAATCGGGTCAAGTACATTCCATAAATAGTTATGAACTTAGACACCTAATCCAAGATTCTCCCACTTGGATAAGTCTAATAACTATATCTGCAAGAATAACTTCAGGAACTGATCAACAATCGTAGCTCTTTCAAGGTCTTGTGGAACTGAGATGACGATGATATTCCATTTAAGATAACTGATCATATAATCCTCTATTCTAGATATCATCCGGACAAATCCATGGAACAATGTCTTACTTATTGTCCATCAGTTTGTTTCCCGTTTTCCAATTTGTTTGACATAAAACTTATTTGAACACTTCAACTTAGTTCTGACCGGGCCGAGTACATGGGTCAACACAAAATCATTGAGGGGCCCAGATATCGCTTCTAATCCGAGAAGGAATAGATAAACTTCAAATCGTATGCTTATTCTACTATTTGTTGAATCATACACAAAGGCACGTTTTATAGCATCGAGTTACAAATGCGTTTACGTACAATCAATGTATAACCAACTCATAGGAAACAAGTCATATCTCTAGGTTTGAAGCCTTATATGATATTACCGTCTCATGATCACTCGAGATAAATTCCATGAAGTGATACTAGTAAGCTTGGGTTGAATCCAATACTCATAACTTATGAGAACTCATGAATCTTACAGCAATCCTTGTTATGTCCCATACCTTGGACATCTACAATCCAA